TCCTTTCATGTCCCTACCTCTAAGCAAGCCAGAAACCAAAGAAATCTAGAATTTCTTTCTTCTTTTGTTATAAAATGAAAATAAATATCCCCTCCTGAAAGCATCTGGATAGGATCTTTACTTTCTGACCAAACCCATGCCTTGTCACACAAGGCCTCACCTCCGATCTGTTGTGTGTCCTATACACATCTGCCCTCAAGAAGGCAGCAAGCTCTATCCAGGCCATGGCCCAAAGCAAGACCAAAGGCCCTTTTTATGCACAGTTACAAAGGAGAAGAGCCAGAATGACTTGGAGTTGGGGTCCTATACACAAAAGGAAGCCTACTATGAGGATGAGATTTGTTATTTAGAGACACAACTATCCCAGCAGACTGTTCTTGGTTCCTTGGGGCAGGAGAAACCAACTCAGGAAAGCAATTAAAGATGACAGCAGCTAGATATGGGGAATTATATTCACCAACCTCTAATTCATTAATCTGACAAAATGCTAGGAAGGTATATCCACTCCTGCATTGCTCTTATAAAGCCACATCCAGAATAGAGAAGGAAAGGAACCTGAGAATACACACATATACACATATGAAATTCTACACAAGGGAGGCAGATTTTACTAGGTAGAAGATGGTGCAATGTGATGGACATCATTATCCAAAGTACATGTATGAAGACTCAAATTGGGTGTCAACATACTTTATATATAAACAGGTATGAAAAATTGTGGTGTATATATGTGTAATAAGAATTGTAATGCAAAAATACATGCTTAAAGGCATGAATTGGCATGAACATACTCTATACACAGATATTAAAAAATATGCTCTATATGTATAATAAGAACTATATTGCATTCCGCTGTCTTGTATTTTAAAAAAAATAAAATCAATAAAACTAAAAAAAAGTATATTCACATAAAAAAAGACACATACCTGGTAACTTCTTGTATAGGAGTCAAAATGTTATTAGAATTCCTATTTAAATGTATCCATTATCACAGGTTACAAAGAATTTACACAAGACCAGTTATTTCCATTTTACAAGGAGGAAAGCTGAGCTTTGAAGATGCATAAGATGCTACAGAAGCTGTGTATCTAATGCAGAACTTATGCAAGAAACTGGGTTTCTCAGATTCTACATCTTGTTTTAACATGATCAACAACAGATAGGGCCAGCTCAGGCAGAACCTCACTAAAACACTTTTGATTACCATCCTGGGGCTAGAATGTTTATACAGAAGTGAGAATTCCAGGTAGGGATTGGAGATGTTCCAGTATATCAAATATCAATGTGGCCCAATAGAATACAAAGTATGCATTTGGTATAGGGTTAGGAGAAGACTTTCTCTTGTTACTGTGCTTTCCCATTATATTCTACATGACCAAAGATGCTACTAAATCTCAGCTCAGGATGAATCTGGACAAATCAGACAACTATCCTACAATGTGAAGGTACAGCACTCTGGGAAATCACCCATTCACCTACCAACTGTATGAGCAGTGATTGAACAGTTTAATGTGACCCATATCTATGTCTTACCAAGACATGTCAGAATTTGAATAGATTCTACAGTGCTTCAGAGATGAAGTAGAAAATAAAGCCTTTGATCATTTACAAAATGAATGATAGAATCATGACTCAATCTCAGGTCTGCCATTTCCTAGTCTAGGTAGCTCTGTTTTCACAAGACTATTCTACCCTCAACCAAAAACAATGTAAAATAATGAATATAATAATTCTATTTTTAGAGATTTAATGGAAAAATGCTTTTATAAACTTCAACATACAATCCCTTGGGTATTATACAATATTACCTTAAATGTAAACCTAAAGATAAATACTTGTTCATGAGCACTGGAAGGTCTACCTTGGAATCAATACTCATTTCATTAATGCAACAGCCAATACCATTTCTTTTATGGTGACACCATAACAGCTGGCCTCTCAGGTTCCACGGTACTCTTCCTTAGCAATCTGAAGGCTGTTTGACTGCTTAAATCAAGCAAAAAGTTTCATGATGATAAAATAAATGCTGTGAATATAATCTGAGGCAACATGGAATAATATTTTAGTTTATCAATAACACTGATATAGACCTCTGAATTATGATTTAGATTATATCATTAATACTCCAGGTCTATAAACAGTATTCATTATAGACTTGGAATTGTGCTCTTGATATAGCAACTAGCCACATATGGTTACTGAGCACCTGAAATGCTGCTAGTGTGAATTGAGATGTGTTATAAGTATAAAATACATACCATATTCCAAAAATTTAGTAATTTATCATTAATGAATTTATAGTGGAAATATATAATATTTTGAATATAATGGATTAAGGTAAATATATATGAAAATCAACTTCACTTTTAGCATTTTTAATTTTTTAATGTGATTACCAGAAAAATTTAAAATATGCTTGTAGCTTGCATTTGTGGCTCTCATTACATATAATATTCTCTTATAGAAATATAATGATCAATGCCTCTTAATTCTTTATGCACAGTAAAAGACATCTGGAAGCTTTTTAAAGTCTAATTTCTGGGTTTCAACTTTGAAGATTCTTATAGAACTAGCTTGGATTCTGGCTTTTAGTGATTTCTTTCTTTGCTTGTTTATTTGTAGGTTTATTTATTTATTTATTTATTTATTTATTTATTTATTGCTATTTTGTTTTTAGAAGAGTTGAGAACCACTGGATTAGATGCTACATTGTATACCAAGTGGCTGCTAGGAAAGTATGTCTGGAGGAACAATCCCATGGCCTTGGATTTAGGACTATCAATAATTGTTCACTGATATGCAGAAGCCTGACTGTCCTCTGCCTTCCAGAGCCATCCTGGTGTGCTCAGTCATTCCCCTCACCCCTTGATTTACAATTTATTATAAAAGTGATGTTTCCCTGAAAGTAAAATGCATTTGGGTTTGGGTGTGTTTTAATCCTTCTTTTAAACAGAGAGGACTGTCAGCACAAGAGACACAAACTGTCCTGAAGGCTAGGTTACTGAAATGATCTTTCTGACTATCCCCAGAATTGATTAATTAACTAGCAAAGGTAAGCTGGGACACAGATGGCATTTTGAGATGCTGAAGGAAAATGCACATAAGCAGAGAAGAAAGGATTGGATATTTTATTAGGAGACTTCATGGCAGAAGGGGATGCAACTTCATTTTGTCTGCTTCCCTGCTTCTGGGCAGTGCCTTCACCTAAATCATCACAGTTTACATTCCTCCAAGGAAGGAGGCCTCTCTCAATCCCTAGAGCCAACCTTGAAACATGGCACTTCTTAGACCTACTAAGATGATATCATGATGATGATGATAAGTTATCATATGCCAAGTATCTAACATGTCAACACTGTGCTAGATATCTTACTTGCATATTTAACCTCATTAAATTCTAATAAGAAAAGTGTGCTATCCTTATTTTTTCAAATGAGGAAATCAAAATTTAGGAAAGTTAAAAATTTTGTCAACAGTCATAGAGTTAGGAAGTATTAAAGCTGTATCTCAGTTTATCTGATACAAAGGCCCTGCTCCTTCCTTCATATCACACTGTTATAATGTCAAACTTTAGACCAATCAGTCTCTAAGAACTAAAGACCCTCTAACCTTTCATTTGGGGTCTGGAAGACTTATCCATATCTTATAGGAGAAAACAACAAAAAAATGATAGGCTGTAGTATGGATGGTCATAATATACCTTCATATCCCTTTGCTATTTGTCTTTACATGAAACAATTTTCATGTTCTATCTCATTCACTATGACATCCTCTGGCACTAAAGAATTGTTGACACCATTTTGTAGATGAGGAAAAACAAATTCCAGCTCATGAGCTCAAGGAAGGCCAGGAACTGGGGTACATGGTCAGTTCTCCCCTCACAGTATTCTGCAAATTTGTGACCCAGAGGAAGCGGAAACTGATGGAAGCTTCATCCCAACAGTGACTGTTCGTGGCCAGGTTCTTCATGGCACAATGTCAGAGGCCAAGGCCTTGTAAGCATTTGTAGGATGCCTGCTTCCATGCCCAGCACATCTTAGATCCTAGATATTTGACTTCCTTGCAAAAAGTAAGATCTGCAATCCATAAATTCTAGATCCTGGGAGAGAAGATTACATATTTTTACACAAACCACTGAAGATATCCTCTGATAATATGCAGAGGTGTTCATACTTCCCTGGATGAGAGAAACAAGGCAAGGGAAGCATAGAGAAAGTAGAGGAAGGGAACAGATGCAAAGAGAAATAGAAGAAAAGCAAATAGGAGAGGAAAGGAGCCAGGCTCGATGGCGCATGCCCAGAATCCCAGCGGTCCAGGAGGCTGAGACAGGAGGATCACGAGTTCAAAGCCAGCCTCAGCTAAGGCAAGGCACTAAGCAACTCAGTGAGACTCTGTCTCTAAAAGAAAAAATACAAAATAGGGTTGGAGATGTGGCTCAGTGGTTGAGTGCTACTGAGTTAAATCCCTGGTACCCCCCCCCAAAAAAAAATAGGGCTAGGGATGTGGCTCAGTGACTGAGTGCCCCTGAGTTCAATCCCTGGTCCCAGAAATAAATAAATAAAGAGAGACAGAGTTAGAGACAGAGAGAGAAAAGGAGGAGATGGGAAGGGACTATAAAAAAGAAAGGACACAGAGAAGAAAGCAGAAAAAGAATAGAGATAAGAAAGGTGAAAGTTCACAGAAATTTAGGGTTAAAAGGGTCTTCAAAATCATCCAGGCCAACCCCAGATGTGGGAAGTGATTTGTAAACATGTGTGGGGAGGGGAGTAGGGGTTGTTCATATAAACAAGAGACAAAGAAAATATCTAAAAATTAGAAAAACAAAGATTAAAGAAGATTAACCCAGGTCCAAGATAGGGACAAAAAAAAAAAAGAAAAAGAAAAAAAGAAAAGAGAATATGAGAAAAGTCACCAAGGGGAGCAGAACAGGGGCTAGTGAAGGAGAAGCCAGGGATAGGTAGCCAAGGAGAAAGGAGAGGAGAGTGAAGGCTGACACTCACCCTCACAAAGCTGGCAGGAAACCATCCCTCCTCATCGTCGATCTGGCCCCACCACCAATCCTTGTTGGAAGCATCCAAGACTTTGATGACGTCGCCAGCCTTAAATGCCAACTCCCGGTTGGCCATGGTGACGTGATCCCATACTGCCTCAGCACTAACGATGGAATCTCCAGTGATCAGCTTAGGAGACAAAATGAGAATGTGTTCAGTCCATGCAGCTGCCTACCTTGATTGGCCCTCCCCCCACCCACAAAGCTCTACTACTTATGGGAAAACTTACATACTTAGCGATGAGGGATAGGGTAAGGGGAACAGCACTAGAGTGTAAGCTTTCTGGGGCCACAAGACAGACAATGCTGTCAACTCTTGATTATCCAGTACATGGAATGATCCAGTGTGTAAATGTGAACTATATGGGTATCATGCTTTTATCTCTACTCATGAATACTTCCCCCAGAAAAGAAAGCAAGCTCCAGTTCAACTATCCTTTGTGTTTCCAGCATCCCTGGGTCTGGAATGGGTAAAGAGGCTGATATTAATAGCTAAAATGAGAATTAAGCATATTTGCTTTCAATTCTCTGTGTTCCTTCTCTTTTCCGCCTCCTCCTTGGAACTGACCAATTGACAGTTGGTAGTATATTATTAATCCTCACTGTGCCCCTCCCCCTAGAGTAACAGACTATGACATTCCTCACACACAATGGACCCCAGTCCTACAGCCTCCTGCCCTCACCCACACAAGATACCATCCAGAGAGGTCATGGGTATGAAAGAATATGGCTTTCTGTGATGTCTTGTACCCAAGAAATTAAATGTTGGCTCAGATTCAGTCAGTGATTATTACAACCACCCTGTGAGATATAGTGGGGATCTGGGTTAACTTCTGCATCTAATAGATTGCAAAACTGAGCAACAAAGAAGTTTAGGGTTGAGGTAAATATCATCCAGCAAGGTAAAGGCTGTGCATGGATTCTAACCTAGGTCATCAGGCTTCATGGACAGCAGAAAACACAACAGCAGGAAAACATTGATCCTACTGCCACATGAAAATACACATAGATGCACATTCATGACAGTTAACTAAATACAATGATAAGGATGGAGGTGGGTAATAGTTTTCTTCCCCCTGGCTATCATTCTGACCACTGCTATTTTGTTCTCTTTTTCACTCCAACTGTTTCAGCTTGTATGGGCCTTCAGTCTTCCCAGCATTTGGGGAATGACATCCTAGAATAGAGAACATATGGCCTGTCAGGCAGAGACTGGAGCACTCTCCCCAGCATTGAATCACTGAACATGTCCTTTAGAAGTCAGCTTTTCCATCAGCTTTTTTTGAGGAAGGACTACCATGACAGCTCCATAACACTAAAAATAAAAGAGTTCAAAGACAATAGAGACTATCTGTGGACTATATATCCCCTCCCACAGGTCTGATATACAATATACTACCCAAAATATAATCGTATAGCCATATAATGTATGTATAACACATCACATACACACACACAGAACCTACCTTTTGACTTAAAGTTTACTGTTCATCAAGCCCTGCCTTAAGGCATATTTCATTGCTCAGGATTCTAGACTTCATGCTCTCTACAGACAGTAAAGCACAGGGAAACCTCCTCAGAATAGATGCAAAAGAAATTTCCAGCAGGACTTTTTTTTTAAATCATACTTCAATTACCTTGTGCTTTACTGCTTTAAAATGTTTTCTCATCTACTACATCATTTGATCCGCACTAAACTGGGTTTCACTATCACTTACATTGTAAAGATGAAGAACCTGAAGCTCAGAAAAGAGACTTGGTCCTTTAGACAATAACATAAGAAATAAATTATAGAATCAGGTTTTCTGACCTCATGTGCCCTTACATATACCAAACTATGCTCCCAGTGTCTACTCATTGGCTATACTGATTGTATAAAACTTGAAGCATCACACCATGAAACAGATGACTCCTTTGCTTAAAGAACCTTGAAGAAGGATTTTTAGATGGCCACCTTTAGTCACTGTTGTCCCTGTGTGTAAATAGATTCATTTTTATGTTGAACTTGCTTTCTTCCAATTGCACTAAAAAAATCAATCTCTCCTTGTTCTCCACTCAGTGGAAAAAGAGAAATTCTAGTTGTTGGCCTTACTAAAATAAATCTTAATGGAAAACTTTCCTTCCTCCTACCTAAAATAGATCCTAACTGGAAGTTGCTGAAGCTCAACAAGCACATATGGCCCTAACTTAGAGGAGCATTTGGGTTCATGGTTTAAAGCTATATCCAGGGATTTTGGTCAAGTGTCAAAAGAATATCTTGACATTAAATATGAACTTTCTGCTCCAGACACTATTTGTGATGCTGTTTTAGATACCCTAGGTCCAGTTATAGCTAATTTCACTGCATATACTCTTTACTTTGCAATCTTCTATTTAGAGACTCTATAATAGCTTCTACCAGCAGTATATGAATCACACTGCCCCACCTCCTGCCAATTTAGTCCAGTTGACATGCCTTGGCCCTCAGGTCATAAGACTCAGATACACCCTGGACATGGCCAATCCAGGATCCAGTGGTCAGGCTCAAGGAAGTCCTTTGAGGAAACACTATTAAAGGTTTAACATTCCTAATACACAAAGTTAAAATCAGAAATACTATAAAATCCAAAACTTAAATTTTATATTTTGTATTTTTGGATTAGGGATACTCAACAAGGTTGTCTATGCAAATACTCCAAAATCTGAAAAACTCTGAAATCCGAAATACTTCTGGTCTCTAGCATTTTAGATAAGCAATACACAATCTATATTTTCCCTATCTTATAAATGAGAAAACTGAAGGTCTCAGAGAGCTTAACTAATTTGCCCAAGTTCACACAACTCATTAATAGCAAAGAAAACAAATGCAGGCATAGTCTGACTCTAGAGACACTGCTTTTAACTTATAAAATATGCAGTGTCTGGGTCTCAGATTTTATACCTATAAAATGAGCTATAAATGCCTGGAAAGTTGTAAAACACTAAACTAAGAACTGGCAGGTGGGTGTCCAGAGTTGTGAGATGGACTAATCCACAAGAAGCTAGAAGTTGCATGGGTGTTATGGTTTGGTTGTGAGTTATCCCCTCAAAAGCTCATGGGTTATATGATATAGCAATATTCAAAGGTGAAACTATTAGTTTATGAGAGCTGATAACCTAATCAGTGGATTAACCCATTTGATGGATTAATAATTTGAAAAGACTACTGTATTAGATGGTAACAGTAGGCAGATGGGACATGGCTGGAGGAACTGGGTCACTGGGGACATGCCCTTGGGGATTATATCTTGTCTCTTTGGCTCAAAGCTCCCTTTTTATGCTTCCCAACTGCCATGAGCTAAGCAACATTCCTCTGCTATGCCCTTCTGCCATGGTATTCTGCTTCAACTCAGGCCCAGAGCAATGGAGTTGACCAACAATGGACTGAACCTCTGAAACTATGAGCCAAAACAAACTTCCTCCTCTAACCTGTTGTCAGGTAATTTGGTTACATAAACATAAAGGCATCTATCACAATGTGGCTCCTGTGCTCTTCCATGACAAATACCACCAACAGCAAGGGGATGCTCGTCTCCAATCCTGTGTACTATTTTTGTTTTGTTTTGTTTTGTTTTTGGTACTGGGAATTGAACTCAGGAGCACTCGACCACTGAGCCACATCCCCAGCCCTATTTTGTATTTTATTTAGAGACAGGGTCTCACTGAGTTGCTTAGTGCCTCACTTTTGCTGAGGCTGGCTTCGAATCCACAATCCTCCTGCCTCAGCCTCCAGAGTCTCTGGGATTATAGGCATGTGCCACCTCACCTGGCTGCACTATTTTTAAAAAGTAAATTAAATCTGGACTGGAAATTGGTTCCAAGTGTTCCTCTTATGTACCAAACTGAAATTTAACTTACTACAAGATTTTTATACATTTTCACTTGGCTCATTCATTTCCCATTGCACATTTATCCAGTGAGCTCCTACTGTGTGCTGCTAGGCACCATTTAAATTATCTGCAAAGATGGTTAAGGGTAAGCAAACCCAACTTCAATTCTGGGCTTTTCTGCTTTAAAATGTAGCAGTAACAATAGGAGGTAAGGAATAAAAGAGTAAAAAGGACAATCCAAAATGAAGCTGTCAGTATGTAACAAGGAGTGCAATTATACAAAAATGAATGAGAATTTCAAACATTTCAACCTTGCACCTCAGTTTCTTCATCTCAAAATTTGGAACGATGTTTTCCTCACAGGCAGGGATATAGATAAAGTGGGCTGAGATGCTGGGTATACAGCACCTACTACAGTATCTGGCATGTGCTGGGCTAGTACATGACTTCAGAGGAAAGAGGGAATTGGGCTCTAAGAAAGATGTTTTTTAAAAAAATTAGGTATAGATGGATCTTTATTTTATTTATTTATATGTGGTGCTAATAATTTAACCTAGTCCCTCACACATGCTAGGCAAGTGCTCTACCACTGAGCTACAACCCCACCACTCTAAGGAAGCCCTCTAAGATAACACTTAAAGATCAAATGGGACTGTGAAAGATATAAAGGGAATGGTTAGTGTGTTTGAGGTAGAAGAATGGCATTATATGAGTTTCAGAGGTGAAGAATATGGGGTACTTGATAGTGTAGTAGCAGTAGAGTTTAGAGAAGGTAGGGTTGAGAAGGGAAATTAGAGAGACGCACAGCTTCAAAAGTTGGCTACATTCATGTGTGAAGGGCACTGAATCAAGTTTGAAGACAAGGAGGAGGTTAAAGACAGAGGAGGTTATGAGGAGGGGGAATCAATCCTAATTGTGGCCATTAATAGCATAAGGGTATATTAGAAGAAAATGATGATTTTGAAGAAGAGATGGCAAATTTGTTCTTTAAAGTGTTAAGTAAAAGAGGTCAGAAGGACATGAAGGTAGGTTTGAAGCTCAAGAGAGATCAGTGGAGACAGATATAAAGTTTTGGGAATCAGTGGCCCAGAAGAAACCAAGGAATTTTGCCCTAGAAGAAAGGCCAGGAACCCAGAGAAATAGTGAAAATGGGAGGTGAGAAACAGAAAAACTGGAGGGAAAATATAAAACCTAAATGGAGCTGTCAGCATATCATTAGGATACCAAGGATTGCAATCTCACAAAAACCAAAGGCAGGAGTTTCAAGCAGCAGAGGCTTATT